CGAGACTCTGCATAGCTTTCGAACCCGCTTTCTGCAAAAGATTGCCGACACCTTATCTAAAATGCCAGCTCTATACATCTGCTTTCTCATAACAATTATTAAAATCGCTTCGGACGAATGAACACTGAAGATCTGATGAGAACAATTCTTTTCGAACCTTCTAGACTGGCGCTACACAATCACTGAAAGACTTTCAACAACAGCTAAAAACTGAAATGGATATCACAAATAACTGGAACAGAAAATAATGTCAAAATGAAAATGGAATCCTTCCACATGAATTCAAACAAATGTTTCATCGAATGGTTTGCGAAATTAAACGGAATGTAGAATTTGTAAATCTGGACGAAAATGTTAGCGACAATTTCAAAAATACTAAATACTGTGAAGAATTGAACACTCGGCAGCGTGGTTTTTCGAAAGATTCTAATGATTAAAATGGCTTTGAACGAATGAATTCTTTACGCTTTAGACAGGAATATACATCTTTGAATGTCTCTACAAAATCGCAAATAACTCTACCACTAACTGAAACTACATCAGTTTAAGGCTTTCAGCAGCAACAAGTAAAATGGATATCCTATGTATCTCAAAGAGGACATTATAACATAATCAAAATTTTGACGTACCACGCTAATAAAAAAGGGTCATCTCTTGAGCGTTGGACGGGTTCAACTAGCATCAGTTATCTTTATTTCATTTGTTTTGATATTTCGTTTGTTTTTGGGTTCCCTTCCCTTCTCATTGTTAATCATCCATAAAGTTTTATGTATAAATTTTATACTCATCAAATTTTTATGTCATGGGGTGCGTTTTTTTTAGGTTCCCTGAGAGTAGGCGACATATGGATGATTGATTGCTGACGAGTGAGTTCTTGTGGTGAATGTGCAACTTGTAATGAGCGAATGGTTCGTGAATCAGATTAGCTAGGTATAGGATAGTAAGTGAAGACCAGCCTCAATCCATTCCCCCTTTTCGGCCTTGAGTTATAATTGTATTTTATACAATAGATATCAATAAAAAAGGGGTCAGTACTGGAAAGAGCAATAGCAGCTGACCTGAGAAAACTAATTTCCTTAGAAATTGTTTTAGTAGAAATATTTTATAAATTTCAATCGACTACAGTACTGGTTACTCGGTTAATAAAAGCCAAATGTTTCCTTATAAGGAAACGGCAAATTTTATCAATATTATCAATATTATAAGGAAAAGGCAAATTATTATCATTATTATTGCTCGGGAAGACAGATTAAATTTGATAAGAATCAAATGGGCACATTACTTGAGAATCATCAACGTTATAGAAAAAAAGGGGATACATATTTTTGTATGAGAGTAAAGAAGGAGACCAAAAATACATTTGACGTTAAAAATTACTCGAGTTCAATTTATATGTATGCCAATTCCGATGGCTGTACACAAAATAGCGAGCAAACTTTTTCGAACTACATATAACAATGTTGATAGTGAAAAAAGATCTTCTATTCATACGTTAACAATATTTTTTTTACTCCTCCCAATAGCTCGGCATTATATACATTTATATATTTATTCTTTCAATGCAAGAATCGGCGTCACATTTTCATAAATAATGCTGTTGACCGATTTTATAGACTCCGCTATTAGTCACGATTATTCGTTGACCGTGCTTCAAGATTGGTTATTTCCACACCTGTGCAGGTGACAGCTGGAGGCCTAAGTAAGTCTTCAATTAAACGACAAGCCAGTAGATTTTCTTCTCCGGGTCAAATAAGTTCGGAATAAAAATTTATTCAACGATAAATTGGATGTGAATCGTACATTGCCTGGCCACGTCGAAGTCCAGAAATAGTGATATGTTATAATTCACTGTGGGCTATAGGGAAAGGGAAGTCTTTGCCTGTGAACGACTGGAGAATGTAAAACGGCCATAAAAGACCATTTTTCTGAAATTAAAACCATCAACGCGGAAGATGTCCCAAAGAATGAGAAGCAAAATCAAATTCTTTATCGAGAATGGATGGCAACATAGCAGGCGTAGAAAATACATTTTTCCCTTGGAAATTTTTCAGCTCAGGTTATTGAAGCCGTGTTTGAAAGGAAAGAGTGACAAAATCGAATAGGAATTAAATAACAGTATAGTGAGAAGTAAAAAACGAATAGAAAAGAAAGAAAGAAAGAAAGAAAGAAAGAAAGAAAGAAAGAAAGAAAGACGGAGATGCAGTTGAAAAAATAGAAATACTGACAGGATAGAAGAAAGCCAGAAGTAAAAAGAAAGGCTGAAAGTAGAAAGAATGGGAGAAAGAAAAAAGAACGAAAAGAATAGAAAAGAACGAAAAGAATAGAAAAGAAGAAAAGAAAAGAAAGAAAAAAGAAAAGAATAAAAAGGAAAGAAAGAAAGATGAAATTGAAAAAAAACAGAAATAATTACAGAATGAAAGAAAACGAGAAGAGAAAAAGAAAAGGCAGAAATAAGGAAATATGGAATGAAAAAGAATAGAAAAAAGAAAGAAAAAAGAAAGAAAGAAAAAAGAAAGAAAGAAAAAAGAAAAGGAAGGAAGGAAGGAAGGAAGAAAGGAAGGAAGGAAGGAAGGAAGGAGATACAATTGAAAAAACAGAATTATTGACAGAATGAAAGAAAGCGAGAAGTAAAAAGAAAGGCTGAAAGTAGGAAGAATGGGAGAAAGAAAAAAGTAAAGAAAGAAAAGAAAGAAAGAAAGAAAGAATAAAAAAGACTGAAAAGAATAGAAAAGAAGGAAAGAAAAGAAAGAAAAAAGAAAAGAATAGAAAGAAAAGAAAGAAAGAACGATGAAACTGAAAAAAAACAGAATTATTTACAGAATGAAAGAAAACGGGAAGAGAAAAAGAAAGGCTGAAATAAGCAAAAATGGAAGAAAGAAAAAACAATAGAAAAGAAAGAAAGAAAGAAAGAAGGAAGGAAATGCAATTGAAAAAACAGAATTATTGATAGAATGGAAGGAAATGAGATGTAAATAAAAGGCTGAAAGAAGAAAGAAGGGGAGAAAGAAAAAAAGAAAAGAAAGGGAGAAATAAAAGAAAAGAAAAGAAAAGAAAGATGAAATTGAAAAAAAAAACAGAATTATTTACGGAATGGAAGAAAAAGAGAAGTGAAAAAGAAAGGCTGAAATAAGCAAAAATGGAAGAAAGAAAAAAAAACAATAGAAAAGAAAGAAAGAAAGAAAAAAAGATGCAATTAAAAAAAATAAAATTATTGTGAGAATGGAAGAAAGAAAGAAGATAAAAAAGAAAAGTTGTAAGAAGCAAAAATGGGAGAAAGAAAACAAAAAGAAAAGAAGAAAAAAGAAAGAAAGTTGAGATGAACAAATCAAAACTACTGACAGAAAGACAAAAAACGAGAAGATGAAAAGAAAAGGTGAAAGAAGAAGGAAGGAGAAAAAGAAAAAAAGAAGGAATGAAAGAGAAATGAGGGAAAAGACACGAAACAAAGAAAAAAAGAATATAAAAGAAAAACAAAGAAATAAAAAAAGGTAAAGAAAAGAAAGGAAAAAGAAATAAAGACAGGAAGATGAGATAGACAAAGGCATCTATGGACAAAAACAAAAGAAAGCGAGGATATAAAGAATGGCTGGAAGATATAAGAGAAAAAAAGAAAGGAAAATAAAAAGAAAAGAAAGATAGGAGGACAAGAAGAAAGAAACAAAGAAAGAACAGACCAGAAAATCTGATCGATAAATTCCTTTTTTACGGCTTGTCAACCCATTGCAAGATTTTACAGAAAATATTTTGCAGAAAATATTTTTATATTATAAATTTTTTTTGGAGATATTAATAGATTAGTGATACAAGGCTTAATAATTAACCCATAACTGGGGAAGAAAAGGTGGGTTGATGCATTCCCAAGTGTATTTGTGTAATTAAATATAACGAACCCAATTCGGATTACCAACACCGAGCCATTATATATTACACCACCTGCACATCCACGCTTACACCCCCCTGCTATTCCCAAGTGGTTACAAATCTTAGGTACTGACCAGGCTCGACATTGCTTAACATTGGTGATTGTACGGGAACCGATGTTTCAACGCTATAAGGCCGTAAGTCTAAAGAAAAGACGGAGCAGAAAAGAACAGATAATAACAAAGAATTGAAGAGAAAAGAAAGTAAAAACAACGAAAAAGCTGAAAAGAAGGAAAGAAAGAAAGACAGAAAGAAAGAAAGAAAGAAAGAAAGGAGGAACAAAAGAAAGAAAGAAAGAAAGAAAGAAAGAAAAGAAAAAGAAAAAGAAAAAAAAAGAAAGAAAGAAAGAAAGAAAGAAAGAAAGAAAGGAGGAAAGAAAGAAAGAAAGAAAGAAAGAAAAAAGGAAAGAAAGAAAGAAAGAAAGAAAGAAAGAAAGAAAGAAAAAAGAAAGAAAGAAGGAAGGAAAGAAGGAAAAAGATGAAATAGACAAAAAATTTCTAGGCAATATTTCTGATATTGTAATTATTTATACTATTTACATTGTTCGGACTGTTGTCCCCCTCTTTGTTGCCATATTCACGGCATTTTTTTCCATATTCACGACGTTTCGGTCGTTGTTCGGTCTTCGTCACATGACTAGAATTTCGAACCGAATCGTTTACATCGTCTACCGGGGTAGACTGATCTAGTTCCACGTTCCTCAAGTACACATGGTCCAGTGAATATGAGCGTTGGTTGAAGTATTCGAGTACTTGAACCAAAGAGTTGTATGTTCAATACCAGTCCACAGCAGAGATGAACAAACACTTGGAGAGTTGAGTTAAAAGTGAGATAACTGATTCTGAGATATCCAGAAAAGGCATGGCACGGGGAATTAGAACAATCTACCTCGGTGGACGAAATAAAGGGTTCGGCACGAAATTCCAATCACATGAAGAAGGTCGGAGCGTACACAGTCGAAATATTGTGAATATTGCAACAAAGATGAGAACAAAAGTCCGGACAATGTAAACAGTGTAAATAATTCTGTTGGTAGATAGAAAAAAATTGAGAAGTTAAAAAGAAAAAGAAGAAAGAAATCAGAAAAAGTAGAAGAAGAAAAAGGGAAAAGAGAAGAAGAAAAAAGAAAAAGTCAAGAAGAAAAAAGAAAAAGAGAAGAAAAAAGAAAAAGAGAAGAAGAAAAAAGAAAAAGAGAAGAGAAAAAAGAAAAAGAGAAGGAGAAAAAGAGAAGGAGAAAAAGGAAGAAGAGAAGAAGAAAAAAGTGAAGAAGAAAAAAGAAAAAGAGAAGAAGAGAAAGGAAAAAGAGAAGAAGAAAAAAGAAAAAGAGAAGAATAGAAAGGCAAAAGCGAAGAGGAAAAAAGTGAAGAAGAAAAAGGAAAAAGAGAAGTAGAGAAAGGAAAAAGAGAAGAGGAAAAAAGAAAAAGAAAAGAAGAAAAAGGAAAAAGAGAAGAGGAAAAAGGAAAAGTGAAGAAGAAAAAGGAAAAAGAGAAGTAGAGAAAGGAAAAAGAGAAGAGGAAAAAGAAAAAGAAAAGAAGAAAAAGGAAAAAGAGAAGAGGAAAAAGGAAAAGTGAAGAAGAAAAAGGAAAAAAAGAAGAAGAGAAAAAAGAGAAGAGGAAAAAGAAAAAAAAGAAAAAAGGAAAAGAGAAGAGGAAAAGGAAAGTGAAGAAGAAAAAAGGAAAAGAGAAGTAGAGAAAGGAAAAGAGAAAAGGAAAAAAAAAAGAAAAGAAGAAAAGGAAAAAAGAGAAGAGGAAAAAGGAAAAGTGAAGAAGAAAAGGAAAAGAGAAGCAGAGAAAGGAAAAAGAAGAGGAAAAAAGAAAAGAAAAGAAGAAAAAGGAAAAGAGAAGAGGAAAAAAGGAAAAGGAAGAAGAAAAGAAAAAAGAGAAGAGAGAAAGGAAAAGAGAAGAGGAAAGAAAGAGAAAAGAAGAAAAGGAAAAGAGAAGAGGAAAAAAAAAAAGAAAAGAAGAAAAAGGAAAAGAGAAGAGGAAAAGGAAAAGTGAAGAAGAAAAGGAAAAGAGAAGCAGAGAAAGGAAAAAGAGAAGAGGAAAAAAGAAAAGAAAAGAAGAAAAGGAAAAGAGAAGAGGAAAAGGAAAAGTGAAGAAGAAAAGGAAAAAGAGAAAGAGAAAGGAAAGAGAAGAGGAAAAAAAAAAGAAAAGAAAAAAGGAAAAGAGAAGAGGAAAAGAAGAAGAAAAAGGAAAAAGAGAAGTAGAGAAAGGAAAAAGAGAAGAGGAAAAAGAAAAGAAAAGAAGAAAAAGGAAAAAGAGAAGAGGAAAAAAGAAAAAGAAAAGAAGAAAAAGGAAAAAGAGAAGAGGAAAAAGCAAAAGAGAGGAAGAAAAGGAAATGTAGAAGAAGAATGGAAAAATGAAAAGAAAAAAAAAGAAATAATAGAAGCTGAAAAACGGAAAAGTAGAAAAAGAAAAGAAAAAGTAGAGGAAGTAAAGTAAAAGAAGGAAAATAAAATTAGAAGAAGAAAAAGAAAAATAGAAGCAGAAATGAAAAAGTAGAACAAAGTAAGGCAAAGGTAGAAAAAGAAAAGAAGACGTAGAGGAAGAAAGTAAAAAGAAAAGAAAAATTGGAAATTAGAAGAAGCAAATAGAATAAAAAGGAAATGTTGAAGAAGGAAAGAAAAAGTAGAAAAAGAAAAAGAAAAGAAGAAAATAAAGTAAAAAAAAAGAAAATAAATAGGAGAAGGATAAAAAAGAAAAAGTAGAATCAGAAAATGGCAAAATAGAAGAGGAAAAAGAAAAGTCGAGAAAGAAAATGGTAAAGCAGAAGAGGAAAGATGGGAAATAGAAGAAAAAATCGTAGAAGAGAAAAAGAAAAGTAGAAAAAAAAAAAGAAAAGTAAAAGAAGAGGAAAAGTAAAAAACAAACAAAAAAAACAACAAAAGTAGAAGAAGCAAAATGAAAAGTAGAAAAGGAAGAGTAAACGAAGAAAGAGGAAAGGTACCGTCGAAAAATGGAGAGAGGAGAGAATTGGAATGAATGCAAAAAGGAGAGAAAAGGAGGAGCAGAATTTAGGAAGGACGACATACGAAAAGCATAAACCGAAAACAGTGAAAGAGAAGGAAGCTGTGGTAGAAAAGAAAAGAAAAAACTAATAGAAATAGAAGCTGGAAAGAGGAAACCAACAAAAAATAAATAAATAAATAAATTAGGGAGGAGAACGAAATAAAAATATTGCAAGAAAGCATTGGTGACAAATATAAGTAACAGAGAAGAAAATGAAAAGAAGAGAGAAAGGAGAAAAAAAAAAGAAAGAAAAGAGAAAAATAGAAAAACGTTAGCTGAAAAAGAAAACACAAAAGATGGAGAAGACGATGAAGATGAAGAAGGTGAAGATGAAGAAGAAATGAAAAAAAGAGAAAAACGAAAGAAAGTAATAAAGAAATAAAGAAAAAAAAAATGACGCCAGAACGAAAAGATGATGAAAACAAAAAGGAAGAAGGGTAGAAAGACGTGATGTAAATAATAAGTGAAAGAAAAAGAAAAGAAATTAAGAAGAAGAAGAAGAAGAAGAAGATAACTGAAAAAGGAAGAACTAAAAAAAAAAAAGATGGAAAGAACTAAATAGAGCAGTGGAAAAGAAAGGACGATGGCAGAAAGAAATGATGCAAAAAAAAAAAGAAAGAAAATGTATCTTAGAACAGATAATGATAACGAAAGAAGCATGGAGAATATGAAAGAAAGCTGAAAATAGGAAGGATATATAAAGATAAAAAAAGAAATAACTATACGATCAAAGGGAAGAGAGAAATTAAGAATAAGCACAAAATTACAACATCGATAATCATTTTCTCTCTGCCCTCTTTCCACCTCTCCCTCTCTCTCTCTCTCTCTCTCTCTCTCACACACACACACACACACACTTGAGTAATAGGCATGCTTCCAGAGAATTTCATACTAAATCGGTGGTCTCCCCGGACTAAAATCCTTGGAGCTACGGCGTTTCTGATCTTCATCAATAATCTCCCCGATGTTATTAATTCCCAACTAGGTATTTATGCAGATGACACAACCATTTACTTCTGTCTTAGGAGTAAGTTCGACAAACCCAGCAAACTAAATCCGGCAAATGCTCTAGACAATGACCTCTAATCAGTGGTTAGCTGAGGCAAGCAATGGCTTGTAAATTTTAACAAAAGAGAACAGCTTACATTTACACCCTTGTGCAAATTAACTGAAACAAAAATAATAATTCCGTTATTATTTACATTTTTTCGTATTTTTCCAATGAAGCATAACCCAGTGCACATGTTAGTACATCGTATGTCAATTCAACGAAGTCGTTCCTTGCCGATTGACCACAGATTCTCGTTTAGATTTAAATCAGGAGAGTATCCGGGCCATTCTATAGTACTTTTATTTGCTCACTAGTAAGGCTTGCCAGTGTGTTTGTGCAGTCTTGCAATTTCTGTATGCTTTCTTTGAGTAACATCCATCGCAGACAATGGTCGTAGGACAAATAATTGACAGTCGGGATAATAGTGTCTGGACGTGATAAAATTCTGATGCAATCACAGATGATGTAATATTTTTCAAGGTCAAACAATTTTCATAATACACCCCGAAAATAGATTCATATTACTGCACACCACTGCTAATGAACTAATCTGAGTAAAAAATAGAAATCTATTACACCCTGTCAATCCAGTGGATCTAAAACTGACCGAATGCTTAAAGAAAGTAAACTAAATCAGTTGTTTCAATTAATTTGCACAAGGGTGTACTTAGAACAGAGAACTTTTTTGGCCTACAATCAAGATGGCTGATGCTTAACTCCAGGAGAGTAAACATTGCGTCTGCTTGGCCTTATGTTTTATTGAATCAATTTCTAGGTCGACTGCGAGGAAAGTTAGTTCATTATATTGTGCCCGGAAGTTTTCTTGTCAGTATCCATTTTGCATATCTATATATCTACCATTCGTCTGTGCACTGGAGTTTATTGCCGTATCTGGTTTGGTGTGTGCTGTGTCGTCAGCATACTTATGCACCACAACAGCCACCAATAAAAACAACAAAACAATTATAACTGAAGGGCCCGCATCCTCACTTTTTTTAAGCGTTTCACTCCAAGCAAGGCGAGAAGCCACTAGGACGCAAGAGGTTACAGAAAATTTGGAGCAAGATCAGATAGGAGTGATAGAGGAAAGGATGAGGAGAAGGATAGTAGATAGTTTAAGACAAGTGGAGATGTCGATTGACATTACGTTTGAATAGTTGGAGATTATAGCTCTCAGTGAAACTGGAATAGGGAAGGGTGTTCCACAGGAGAGAGGTACGAGATATGAAGCTATTGGAGTAGAAGAGACGGCTACATTTAAAAGTTTCTCCAGTGAAAGGGTGAGAGCGGGATGCCAGCCTCGTAGGGCGCTTGAATTCATGAAGTCTGGGAACCAGTGAAAGCAGCTCATCGGAGCAGTTACCATGAAAGTACTTGTAAAGAAGACAGGGAGAGGCGACGGCGCGTCTGTGAGAGAGTGACTGTAGACGAGATGCCAGAACAGGGACAGTTATATTGCATATCCGCCTCTAGAGCCTATCAAGAACCCCGAGTCAAACAGAAGGGGCTCCAGACCATATATAGCAGCAATACTCCATGCAAGGGCGTGTATATAAAATAGAAGCATAGATCACAACACTCATTTGTTCTACGAAACCTACCAATTGTCTCTACTCATCCTGATAATGATTTAACCCCTTTTCCGGCCTAGACGTGTGCATATGGGGTTTTTTTTTACACACCGACGAATAAACACGTCCAAAACATAACGTTCAAAACCCAGCCTCAGACGTTTATATATGTCGATATTGATTCGTTTTATTGCCTTCTGAGGTGGAAACGGGTCCAATTGTCAACTGATACGTCTGATAGAGGTGGTAACCATCGCTCGAGTACTTCAAGATTTTCAAGTATATTAAAAACAAATGAAGAATTCGTCTGAAAAATGAAAAGTTTTTTTTTTCCCCGAAAATAATTAATGTGGATGAGGTTAGCAAAGTGGAAAGTTTAGAGCATATTTCCTTCACTGCAATGTTGGACGGATTTTCTTTCGTTGAGGATTCTCAAGTAATGTGCCCATTTGATTCTTATCAAATTTAATCTGTCTTCCCGAGCAATAATAATGATAATAATTTGCCTTTTCCTTATAATATTGATAATATTGATAATATTTGCCGTTTCCTTATAAGGAAACATTTGGCTTTTATTAACCGAGTAACCAGTACTGTAGTCAATTGAAATTTATAAAATATTTCTACTAAAACAATTTCTAAGGAAATTAGTTTTCTCAGGTCAGCTGTTATTGCTCTTTCCAGTACTGACCCCTTTTTTATTGATATTTATTGTATAAAATACAATTATAACTCAAGGCCGAAAAGGGGGAATGGATTGAGGCTGGTCTTCACTTACTGTCCTATACCTAGCTAATCCGATTCACGACCCATTCGCTCATTTTTTGTATAAAATACAAGGATTAAAATACAAGTCGATCGTTGCTCTTATTTCATTAAACTTACAATGTCCTTTCTTCACTTTACGCTCCAACATAAAATTAAAAGTAAATTTTCGTAATTTGTAATCTGGGTAGTTTTTATAAATATTAATATCGATTAAATAATCCAGGTTCCAGCAACGTTTCAAATAAGGTATCGTATGATATGGGTATACTTTGTTTTGTCTTCAAAATGAACTTACATAGTAACATTGAATTTAATAATATAGTGTTGTAAAATTAAATCATTTAACCGTACTGGGTGAGACGTTAGACTACATCTGCGTCCTGGGTAAGACGATAAACTACATCCAGCAGTAAGGTCTCAGGAGGTTTTGAGGAGCGTGGAACAAACTCTTAATTGCTGGTGTTCCCAGGTCCACCCTGACATGGGGTGGTAGCACCTTTTAGGGTCCCAGCTATAGGAAAATAGTTAACTATTACCCACAATACTTTTTTGAAAAATAAATATTACCAGCAATACAATTTTGAAGGAAAAATATTACCAGAAACAGATTTTTGACAAAACAAAATATTACCAGCAATAACATTTTTGTCGCTATTAAATAACCCATTGAGGTTGATATGGCGTAAAACAAAATAAATCAAACCTAAACTATTTAATCCAACCTTGACATTAAGGCTGATCAATCCGACAAAATCAAAATGGCAGCCGATGTCTAAAACAAACTCAAGTCCGTCATTAACTGGGGCAAGAGATGGCTTGTTAACTTTAACGCGTTCAAACTGAAACTGCTCTCTATAAAAATCCATCGCTGCCTTCACGAACCATTATCATGGATAATGCAAATCTTTTGAGAAATGACTCGTCGCGTCTTGTCGGGCTCACATTCTCAGCTGACAAGAGGTGGAAAAACTATATTGAACCCCTTGCTAGGTCAGCTGATAAAAAAACGTGGCTCCCGGTATCTTACATATCTATAAGCCTATTATTTGTCCATGCTTAAAATATTGCTGTCAAATGTGGTCCGGTGAAATGCTATTTACTTTGAGCTCTTTGATAAGATTCAAAGAATAATGAGGAATATTATTGGTCCTGATCGGATGACGCGGCTCGGCTCGGCTCGGCTCGGCTCGGCTCGGCTCGGCTCGCTTCGGCTCGGCTCGCTTCGGCTCGGCTCGGCTCGGCTTCAGTCACTTTGCCTCTCTGTGTCTTTCTTAGTAATTGTTCGGATGAGCTATTCGCTATGGTACTTTGACTTTTTTTTAAATTGAAGCTCTGTACTAGACTGGCGTTGAGATCTCAAATTACAGTTGGGCTGGCTAGATGTAGCCTTAATTAACTGCTAAGAGATTCTTTTCTCTTAATTTTCGCTTGTGGAACTCCTTTCCAGCTTTATGGTTCCAGCAAAAATCTGCAAAAATTGAAACGCAATGTCAATCGCTATCTATTGTTTTCCTGTTTACTCTTTTACTCTTTCCACTGATGTCTCTCTTCCTAATGCTTCCACACTCTGCGACCCCATGTTTTTTAGTGGCTGTACTGTCTGGCAGGTGGTGATACCGATTTAAAAGAAAGATAGAGATTTATCATATAAAATCTTGATTTTCTTAGTAATACAAAGAAACAACAACAAAAAATGATCTCTCTCTCTCTCTTTGATTGAATGCCGTGTAAGTCAGCCGATTATTCTAGTCGAAACATACACGGTACACTCTTGGGACTAAACTTGGCAGATCCGCAGACATTTTCTCGGTTCTTCTACAAATCTCCTTTGTATCAGATTGAGTGATTAACCTGTCCGCTTCTGTAAACATCGGATATTTCCACGATTCCTATGAGTTGAGTAATAATCATGACAGTCATCTTCCGTCTTGTGGTTCTTTTGGCTTAAGGTTACATTACGTCGAAAGAGCGGTTTCAGCGCGATAAACGAAGTTAAGTAACTTCGAGTCTCGTTAGTAACTCGGTAGATGACCGCCTGGCAATAGAAGGTGCTGTATTTATGGATCTTCGGGTGGTGTAATAGATAATGGCTCAGAATTGTTAATCGGAGAGCCAAGTTTGAATTCCAGTTAGTTTTTTTCATCTCCATTTACGCGGAAATATCCTTGGGAAATGTATGAATCCAAATATTCTTCCACCAGCTATGGGTTAATTAGTAGAACTTTTATTACTAAATCATTATTAATCTCCAACAAAACAAAACAAAACAAAAAACCCTAAGAGGCTGA